GCAACTGTGCCAAATTATCAGTATGTTTTCGGGTTACCTACCTACCTATCAATTACTAGAGAACATTTACAATTTTTTTCTCTAAATATTTTACAAATTTCAGTTCAGCACTCTCTTGAGCGTAGCACAAAAATAACACAATTTCATACATATGAACGAAAGTGAATATCATGTTTGCATATATATCGCGAATTATTATGATCGGTTGTGGAAATTTCATAAAAATAAAACCTAATTAATTTTAGTTAGCATTAACCTAAATACGGGATAACGTTCATCGATACAATTGGTTTTCCTATTTGATTTTATAGAAAAGTTGCCCTACTTCGCTTATAAAAAAAACATTGGATATCTAAAAATCCATGTATGTGGGTGTGTAAAGAATTTTCTATTTTAATATTTTTCTTTTAGTTTTTTAGTAATTATACTCGCCAATGAAGTATATTAGATATGTTATATGATTGCAACACATAGAGACAATGCTTATCAAACATATGTATATTTTGGAGAGGAATGCTCTACAATTCATCTCAAAAAATTCGAATACATAGCATAAGCATAAAGTTCAGAGTTGAAATCGACACATCGGTTAGCCTGTTTGTCGATCGACTTGCCGATCAAATGGGGCATTACAACTTCATCTTAAACTTTTGTTTCGACAAATAAATTTAATTTCCTCTTCGATTAAGGGCCAAAAATGAGTAAAATCGATGCATAGATCCGATTATAATTTTTTTAGGGCAACTTCAAAAAAGGTACATGTGGCTAACAGATGACCATCGTGGGATACCTGTCAATGTTGTTTTTATTTTATGCAATTATTGTACAAAATGCTAGGAAATTATACACATTTTAGTTATATAGGTGATATACGATATGTGAGGCACTTCATTATTGTCAAAATGTCATAGTAACGGATCGTCGCTCGATCTTGCCATTCAAGTATCGTGAGAGGAATTATTTAATCATTTGAGTATTTGTTTAAATCAAGAAAACTAATTTTCCATTTAAGCCGAAAAGTATACAACAGAAAAATTAACTCTACAGCTTTTATGCAAGAACAAATGAAAAAACTTAAGGTCGCTATGGTATGAATCTTGGGAGACCATCAGTTCAACAAAATATATGATAAGTAAACTTTAGATATTTGATCGCTTGCGAGCGACGATCTTTTCATATCTTTTCACTACAACGGTAAATTTTTGCAAGTTTATTGAAAACTTTAGATCACTATTTCAATGTTTGTTTTATTTTATTGTCATACGCTAAGGTATACAAAGAGGTAGTAAAATAAATATATTAAATCCGAGGAGTAGCTTTGGCGATTTACACTTCCACTCCACGAAGTTTTAAATGGTAATCATCTTTGATATTTCTTTTTATGATCAAAACATAAAATTGACTATTATTTGATGTCATTAGATGTTGATTATAATTATAATAAAACACAGGTTTTGTAGCGATTGTCGTTTACACACATATAACCATAAGTGCAATAAAGTTAAGCTATAGACTTCTCCCTAAATAGGTGCAATACGAATTATTAAACATATTTGTACCATCAACCAGTTCAGTAACTGGAACATTATAATCAAATCGCTCAACAGATACGAAAGTAAAAATATTTCTTATGAAATAATTTATTTTGCAAAATATTTATGCGAAATATTCAATTTCATAAAAACGACAATAAAAGTATTTTATAAATTTCCTTATGAAAAATAAAAAAAAAAAAACAACAACAACAACAAGACTGGACAATTTTCTTCAAAATTTTTTTCCGAAGATCGGTATAACAAAAAAAGAAAAATAATTCCTGCTTCTAAATGAAGAAGACGACGGAATTTCGTTTGTTTGTTGATTGAAAGAATTTGCGTTTTGATAGAAAAAAGTACCGTTCACAAGCAGCAAGACGATAAATTTACGATTTCCGTTGGATTGCAATCGTTATAAACGGAGCAACTTAATCTTATCGATAAGTAAAAACCTTGGTTTATAGCCGCCCATTAAATACCCTACATAATTTCATCTAATTTATTTTATTGACATCATATTAAATATCTAATCCCTGTACCTTCGTTATATGAGAGAAATTCCAAAAGTCCAAATTTAATAAATTTAATTTTCTTCTCATGGATTTTATTACACTTTACCTACCTTTTCTTTATAAGGCTTTCAAAATTACACTTTGTTGCCATATCAATTATTTGACTAAATATTTCCTATACTAAAACGTTGGGGGTTGGAATGGGGTCAGACCAAAGCTGGCATAGTTAATTTTAAGCCAAGTAATCGTTGTGGACCAACTTTCATCATAAATTTTTAAAAATTACACTTCCTTTTCTATGAAATTTTGAATGTTGCAATGTTTTTTTTTTTTCATGTAAAAACTTTTCCTAAATAAAGTGGTTGCAGGGTGAGCCCTCGTAGAAGCGACTCGATTCAATCCATTTTCAATAGCATGCTAAAACATGTGGGCTTACAAAATGTCGTTAAACTACGACCTGTATACTGAAAGCATGGACAGACAACGGACAGTTGGACAGAGATGTAACGGGACACATTTAGAGATGAACTTACATTTATTTACATAACGATTCTAAACAGCGAATCTGTGTGAAGTCATTGTGAATGTTACCCACATTCATACACACTGGTGCAGGTTATAAATATAAGATCGTATTCTTCAAGCTTTTAAAACTATATGTTTCCGTGATCAGTTCACACGCCATCTTTTACATAAAGTACATATCGGATGTCTTTATTCAATTATATAAGCAAGATTCGATGACTTGCGTCATTAATGAGGAAGCTTCGTATATACTATAGACATATATGAAAATTATTGTTCATCTTCTCCTAGTTGTCACTGTGCGAGGAGAACAAATAACAAACAATATCTAAGATAATTCGTAGCCATCTAACTTGGCTTATCAAGAAACCCATTTCACCTTTCTTCAGCGTTCTTCAACGCGCTTTGCCTGGCGAGTACTCTGGCTGCGGCAGAACCTCCCATACGAGCTGCAATAGTGTCCGTTTGAGGTTGCTCTTGCAACGTATGACCGAGGGTTGTCAGGCGTTTTTTAGTCGTCTTTGCTGGTCCTTTTTGCAACAATCATTCAATTGATCTCGATCGATGTCTGCCGTAACAGTTTTATTCCGTTTTACTGTAGATCGTTATACTGTAGACCTTGCTGATCACAGCAAAACTTTACGATATCGATTTGGATGGCTCTCCTGGGCTAACACATGATTTTTTGTGCTTAGAATTATCGCAGTTTATCCAGTTTTCATTGCCAGTCACAATATGCTGCAGAAAATTCTTCTGTAAATTGACATTTTCAATCAAATCGTATGATAGCGATCTGGATCTAGAAACAGCTGATTCATCAACTACTAAATTCTTTAAGAGCTTGAGGTGAGCTTTGGTTCAACAATTCGCGGAATTCTTTGCCTTCAAAATTTTTTGATTGAAACCAAAACTAATAATTGGGATATGATGATATGGCAGCGTCATCGTAAGCTTCTAAAAGTATTTGACAGTCTTCAGCGGCAGATTTTTTCAAGTCAAACAACAGAATGTAATGAAGGTCTGATATGAAGAAGAACTCAATAATACGAAAGAGAAAATAATTATTGTCCCTAGTTAAGTAAGGGACTTGGGTATGCCTTCCTAGAATGTTCTCCGATTTTATCGAAGTTGATTAAACATCTGTAAGATATGAGAGAGAAAAAGTCGAAAACAAAACTAACGGCAATCAATCGCAGCCGCAGCGATAAGAAATCTGAGCTGCCATCCCATCTCTGAGAACAAGCCATTAGTATATTTTATCAATAACTTAAGATCGTCATTGAATAATTTTGCACGTTTTCAACGTTGCTGTAGTAGTAAGTACATCGTATCAAAAAAAAAAAAAAAAAAAAAAAATAGGAATAGGAATAAATTAGGAAAAAAAACACACAAATGATATTTTGCACATTTTCAGGTTATTTCTTCAGGCTGCACTTGCTATAGACTAAACAATAAAATAATAAATAACGTTAATGGTTTACTACAGCGAGAATATTTATTAATTCCACACAATTATAATGAGTTTATCAAAAACAATTGGGAAAATTTTAACACTATTTTACATTATTTTATTTACAAATAATAAAAATTATTATTACATTCTCGTTCTGAAATGTTAAATAAGCAAAAAAAAAAAATAATAATAATAATTCCCTGAATATATAACACAATATAACACACATACAGCACCATAATGATCACTTCGCGCCGACAGCAAATTGCCTAAAGAACATACTTACTTGAGTGATTTAATTAAATATGCTAAGCAATGCAATGCAATGCAATGCAATGCAGTGCAAAGCAAAGCAAAGCAAAGCAAAGCAAAGCAAAGCAAAGCAAAGCAATGCAACTTAACGATCAATTACAAATGTTTTTTTTTTTTTAATTTTTGGTCTACTTAAAATTTTCGAAAAAAAAAAAAAAAAAAAAAAAAACATAAATAAATAAATAAACACAAAATTCAGAACCATACATGCATATAATGCTACAAGTGTTCCAAGGCGAATCGCGAACACTCTCTACACTCTACACTTCAATGAGCCGATCGAAATCATTGCATTGTAAACAATTTGATAGCAACTTCTATGGTTCACAAATTCGTTCGCATTTTTACCCAACATGTATATTGAATATTGAGTCACGACGATCACGTGGATCACTACCTTAGACGAACTTATCGAGAATCAAAATGGGTTTTTTTTTCTTTTCTTTTCTTTTTCTTTTTTATTATCATTAACAATGGGATTTGGAGCATTTTTAGAACCTCGATAAATGTTTGAATCAAAGTGTACATTAGTCAGTGTTACAGGTCATAGCATATTAATGAAAATATATTGAAATTATCTGTACATTTCAGTTATCATTAATCGTTTATATACATTTTCAATACTTGATATATTGTGAATTAAAATTTCAAAAAAATTTATTATTCAACTTATTCGACTTTTTCAACATCCAATTATCAAATATCGTATGGCTTTAGCAGTTAAGTTAATAATTGATAGACAAAAGCATAGAAAGATAGGCAAATAGTTGCGAGTATAATCACTGCGAGTTATCAGCTGCTCACACTAATCAAGAAAATATATTTTTTATCGTATAATATCTCTCTGATTATTCTATTCTTCTCTTGTCTCATCTGTTTCTAATATGACCGATCAATCCATTCAGGGAATTCAGGAGATGTCTCGTATTCATGTAATATGGTAATGGCCATGAATGTGTATCCAATCGGTAAGTGTTATGCCTTTATAGGCTAAGGACTCACTATAGCCCATCATAAACCAAAGTAAAATCTATCGCATTACGATTGAAACCCGCGAACATTGCCTTGATATTTTCGATTATCCGATTCTTTCTTCCGATTTTACTACGTTCTCTGGCGGATATTGAAATGTTACAAACGCAACGACGAATTTAATGTAATCCAGCCTTCGATGATGATTATAGAAAATATTTCTCTTTTCAAATTACATTTTCCGCTGTATATACGCATGGACTTTAAAGATATGAAAAAACGTTCACTTTTAATATTCTTTGTTATATGTAAACATTAATTAATTTTCAAGAAATACAATAATTATATTATTATTATGAACTGGTAAAGAAAAATTTTTTTGTAACGCCATGTCCAAAATTGACAATATTAATTTAGTTGACAATAACAGCGAAAACATCTGACACGTCATACGACGAGACAGGCAAGAAAATTATACAAATAAATAAATAAATAAATAAATAAAGAAAAGAAAAGCGAACGTAATCTAAATGAACATAAAACAAAATAAAGCAAACAAATGATCATATACTTTAAATTAACATAAGCCATATACGTCGTATGTGTCGTCTGCATGTAAGTAAAATATATATATATATATATATATATATATATATATATTTTCAACTTTAGTTATGCTTTTTACATCACTTCCTCGAATATTATTTATATTTTATTATTATTAATTAATATAAATGTGAAATTGTTGTTGTTGAACTTATAAATTTTAATAAACATATTTTGATTATTGTAAAAACTTATTTAGCTTTTTCAATTTCTAAATATTTACGCATCACACAATCACCCAAACCTAATTTATCCATTATATCCAATATATCTTGACAATATTTTGCCTTAACTCCGGCCGATTCTTGAGCGCAATCCTCCATACTCTTACTTAAGCGAGCGATTACTTGTAGCTTAGCATCAATTATAACATAATTACTGTTCGGTATAAAGCTGTCACTTTTCTCATTCAAATAGATAATCAACGATTTCAATGAATGTGAATTAATTTTCGCATTTATTGCGCCCGAAGCGAAATCTTGAGCTTTAATCATTTGGGCATGCGTTGATTTTTGCTTACACTCCAAGCAATTCCAATTGGGATGCGGCAAACCAGTTACTTCAGGTACCGCCAAACCAGAGCAATTAGTATCGCGACAATAGACAGCCGATATAAAGGCACCCTTCTCCTGTAAACGAAATCAAAATTAACAAAATATTAAAAGTCAAGCCAATACCTACTAGCAATAGTAACAATGAGTATAATGTATATATTTATAAGATTGTTTTTTAAATTATTTTCTCTGTCTCTCTCTCTCTCTCTCTCTCTCTCTCTCTCTCTCTCTCTCTTTCTCTTTCTCTTTCTATCTCTATCTATTTTTTATCCCTATATTTATTTATATCCTTTTTTTAAATTCTTCACTTTCTTTCTCCCTCTCCCTCACCCTTTCTCTCTCTTTCTATTTATCTATCTATCTACCTATCTGTTTTTGTCTATCTATCTATCTATCTATCTATCTATCTATCTATGTCTATCTATATAACTCTGTCCATCCATTCGTCTATTTAAATATCTCACTAGCTATTTATATCTCCATCTATCTCTATCTCTTTTTTTATCTATCTTTCGTTCTTCGTCTTTTCCTGTCTCTCTCTCTCTCTCTCTTTCTTTCTCTCTCTTTCTCTCTCTCTTCCTCTTTCTCTTTCTTTCTTTTTCTCTTCTATCCAAATCCTCTTCACAAACAAAAAGCTCTGCATACTTTTTTGCGCGTATTTTTATTTGATATAAATATAATCCACTCGAGTGCTTTACTTTAAAGGCCATCCAACCAGTGGCGCACTTTTACAGGCAACAATCGAATTCATTTATTGAAATCATTATTTGCCGAAGAGGGCCTCGCATTAAACATGCATCCTTCAAAGTCATTGCCGAAATTGCTCTTCTTTAAAAACTTATTACATCCCTCATCGAAGAAGAAGAGCACGTTATACTAAATTTCTACTTGCTTATATTGCTTGCACTATATACTTAATCAAGGTAAGATTCTAAATTGATTCGATCATATTTGTTCATTTGTGCGTCAACCTGTTGCCTGTTGTTGATCAACTTATGAAACAACAAAGGTTAAACTTGATCTCTGACACTTGAATTTCTTATTTAATGACCACAGGTCATGTTTAATAAAGACTGTGATCTATGTAGAAAGGAAAAACCATTTCACATTTAATAATACATTTTACTTATTTTAATTTATTGGCTTGATATGTCATCTCAAAATGGTTGTAACTTCCTTACTTGCTTTAAATTTGCTTGAAAATGTCATCTTTTTTTCTTAACTTCGAAAATCTGATAAGATTTTCTGTTTTATGTCTTTCGTAATTAGTTGAAGATTTTAACTTTTGATAAACGGCTGCAGATAGACACTAGATTTTCTTTGCGTATATATTTTCCTAAAAGCATTTTATTATTATTTTAAATTTTGAATAACATTTCTCTACCACAAATATTCAAAAGAGGTATAAATTTATCTTTGTTATCTAAATTAGAATTCCATCCGTTGCTAATTAGCAATGAATCGATCAACGATCTAAAACAATTTTATGTGACTTTAAGCCGGTATCAAGGCAATATTCTCTTGAACCTATAGAGAAAGCCTTTAAAGAGCGATTTATTTTTCTACCTTTTGCGTTTTAAAAACTTATATTATTATTATTATTATTATTAATTTCGCCAGAGAAATAAATTCTAAGACCAAGCTCGTAAAAGCACTAGCATCTAAGGCTATCGGCTTTTATTAAAAACTCTACCGCACTTGAGATTCGAACCCACGACCATTGACTTGCTAGTCGAGATTCTTCGCCTTCGGCTACTCAGGCGGATTAAAAAAAAAAAAAACTTATACTATGCTGATTACCGTAAGATTTAATTGAAAATTAAGCTTTACTTGTAAACTATGAAAACAGTTACAATAACTGCTTAACATGGAAACTTATTCTGACCAAAGACCCGAAAAAGTACATATATATTCTTGATCAGCATCAAATTCTAAATCGATTTAAGTCAGTCCGTCTGTCCTTCTGTGTTTCTGTATAATCTCTGCTTTAAAATTAAGCTATCGATTTCAAAATTTGCGGAAACATTGGAAAGTTTTTGGACGCAGGTTGGTATTGAAAATGGGCCAAATCGGTCGCAGAAGACACTTACCGTGTCACGTAAACTGAGAACTCCTCGAAATAAAAAACTGGTTTTCTCCTCATTGCTGATAAACTACACCAACTAAATATACATACATATGGAGAAACATTTTCATGAACAATACCGTAGCATCTGTTAGAAAAGGTAAAAAATCGGCCACGCCTATCCAATACTATAGCGTATCAAACTTTAATGATCTTTTCACTACGTGTACAACGCGTCGATAAAAGCTTCAAAAACCCCACAAGGTCTATAAAGTCTTGGCCAGTTTCAAATTTAGAATGCACCTAAACATGTCTGTCAGTTCATCTGTCTGTTTGCACAGCTCCGCAGTGTTTGTGGCAAACATTCTCCGTCTACAAATTTGCAAAAGAGTTCGGAAGAGACTTAAACTTTTTCAAAGACATATCTACAACACTTACATACGTATGCGACAAAAACTTTTGTTTTGAAAATAAATAAAATCAGCCGCGCCCACCCCATGAAAATTTAATTCTTTTACTTTTTTTTATCTTTTTTACGATAACAGTGATAGGTAATAAATTTTCGACCAATGCCGAATACAATTTTTTTACTTGCTTTAAGTAGAATGAAAGGTTATATATGCTACATACATTTTTATACTTCAAGTAGCTTAGAATGCTGAATCGATTTACCCACGTCTGCTCGTCCTTCTGTTAATTTAGGCATTTTGAATGCTTGCTCTCAAAGGAACTATGACGCACTAATATATTTACAATTATCGCTACAGATAGACTCGCACTTTTCTATCTTAGAAACCGATCTATTATCGACGGACTGAAAGCCTTCTCTGAAGTGAGTTAATATATAACCAGTAAGTAAGATAAGTAAATAAATCTATGTTAAACAGCAACAATGACGACTAAGCTCCACAAAGGAAAGCTATGATCCTTCAGCTAAATTCAAACCAATCATCTCGTCATCGCTGTTATAGATCGTTCCAAAAGAGAGGAATTCATTCTTCTTTTAAGGAAATTTACAATCATCCCCGAATTCGCCCTGCAATCCCAAATTCAGCCAAATCTGTCAATCCCAGTAAAGAGGGCAGTAACATCAAGCAATCATGAATATTCTTTAACCCTGCCTTTTCTCAAAGCCCCAAGCAAGTGTATCCATCTGATTTTAAGAGAGACATCTTCCGAGATTTTTTTCTAGTGAGGCTGTAGCTGATAATTAAAAGCACATAAGTGAGAAACCTAGACGAAAACAAGTCATGCTTACACATACCAGAGTGCAAACGAGCCCCCGTCGAACGTCTCAGAATCATTAAGATTTTCTCTTAGACATCTCAAAGGACGCGAATTTGTTGTCTCCTTGCTTACGCCTAAGAAAAATGATGATAATGACTCAGATTAGTTCCACCGACTTTAAAGCGGGCTTCTTCGCTTTCACACTAACGAAGGGATTTATTATTGTACGTGAGCGCATTAGAGGTCTCGACTTCAACGATAGAGGCTTTGCTCTTCGGACTGGAAAATTTCTTCCCATTTCGTTTAAATTCTGATTCGTAGTGAAAAATGAACGTGTGACCCGGCTTCTTCTCCGTTTTATGCCGCACAGCAAAGTGTGTGCAAGAAAAAGCTTTAAACTTTCCATAGAAGAGTCGAACAAGCAAAACTCAACGAATCTATTCTATCGCGAGATTGATTGAAATCTATTAAAATTATTCTTTCTATTTTTTTTTTTTTTTTTTTTTTAATTTAAAATTAAGGTAAATATAAGCTTTTATTAGTAAAACATTTTCTTGCTGGTTAGTTTTGCTCGCTCTCTTATACCTTTTATCTAAACCCATTAACTTGGTCGCTGTTAAGCTGTTAACCGAGTAGAGGCACAAGATATAATTTATTATTATTATTAATAATATTTTTTCTGATATTTAAATTATTTAAATGAATTCAGTTCAACTGCGAAAATAAATTACCATAAATTTCAATTTAAATAAAAAAAAATAAATAAATAAATAAAAATAAAAAAGAAAAGCATTTCACTTATATATATATTATATCTTTCGCTTTTGTTTTTTTTTTTTTTTTTTTTTTAAATAAAAACAAAACAAAATGTAGAATCGTATTAAAATGTTTCCAAGTATTTGTGTTGGATTTAAATGATTTTTCATTTTTTCATAACTGAAACGAACGTGTGTTGCATGCCATCACTAAAAAATTTTAAATTCTTTTCCTCCACATATCACTCAAAGCACAAAAGCCCAAAAATATTAATATATTAACATATTTGCTGTTTTTTCCTTTTTATACCCTACGTTATGTGCGGTATAACGATATATTAAGTTCATCCGAATATAGGCAGCATCCAATGGAACTTGAAATAGTCTCACTTTTTTTTATCTTTTATCAATAGATTCAAAATCACTTTTTGCTTGTTGTCACCTTAAGTTTGTCTGCCCGTCTGTCCGTGTTGTTTGCTTTTGTTCAACTCGCAATTTGCAAATTTTTGAACTTTTTTCATGAAAATTGGTGCAGTGACATTTGTTGGCCCAAGACCGGAACCTATTGAAAATGTTTTAAATTCGGTCAGTCCTCACTTAAGTTGAATCACTTCGTTATTTTAAAAAGTCTTTACATAAATATATGTAGATTAGTGTAGGATATTTAATGATGGGCTGTAACTCGCTATAGTCGTTTTACTTGCCTTCTTCTTAAGATATCTGTTTATAGGTACGGTTGAATGTTTATGTTTATACATTGAAATGAAAAGATCTAACAATAGATTTTAGATAAGAAAACAAAATAATATTTATTTCAGTTTTTAATTTTAATTAATTGGCTAATAATTCGGCACATTTTTTAAATTATCATTGAACAAAGATAATAACAATAATAACAATAATAACAATAATAATAATAATAATAAAGCAAGAGAGAAATAATTTAAAACAAAAAAATAAAAATAAAAAAACAAAACAGTTAATAGATATTTTATTAAGTAATTTTCAAGTTCAGAACCATTTAACAG